CGCTTTTTTGTTCGACGCAGGTCGCACGGTCGCCGGGTGCTCTTTTAACTGAGTGCGGTACGATCAGGCGTATTATTTTCCTAACGTGGCGGGCGGCGCTCAAGTGCTACTTTCGACACAGCGGATTAATAGTTATTGATAGAAGTATTTAAAGGAAGCAGTATGGCATCGCAGGAAAAGTGTGTTTATGTTGGCAATCTCGATTGGACGGTAAGTTGGTATTATTACGTCTCGAATACTCCTAAGAGTCTCCCAATATGGTCACCTCAGACTACCGAAGATGAGCTCGGTGATCATATGAAGAAGGTTGGACCTGTCGTGTCGGTCGATATTATGACCAGAAACGATGGTAAATCCAAAGGCTGCGGGTGAGTCACTGTTGGCGACATGGACTGTATCGCGAGAACACGTGTTGAGCATCAACAAGTGGCTTGCAGGATAGTCGAGTTTAAGGAGGCGAGTTCAGTGGCGAAGGCTATTGATACGCTCAATGAGACGCAATTGGGCGAGAGAAAGATCTTTGTCAGAGAGGACCGTGGCCCTGCGAAGCCTTGGTCCGAGAGTGGTAGTCTTGGGCAGGTCTCTTCTCTACTGTGTAGTAGTGTTGTATGGTACAGGCTCTCCTCGTGGTGGCAAGGGTAGGGGTAAGGGTAAAGGGAAAGGGAAGGGTAAAGGGAAGGGATATTGGGATTGGGGATTTGATTGGGGATACCGTAAGTTGTGGGTAATTCGGATACCCTCTTACACATGCTTGTCCTCAGCTGGTAAGGGTAAGGGTTTTAAGGGTTACAAAGGCAAGGGCGGCCTCAGACCACTTCGTGTTGGCCCTCGTGATAAAGGGAGGCTCATCTACGTTGGCAACGTACAACAGATTACCATCGTATGACTCTCAGTAGTACCCTCCTACTCAGTTACCTTGGAGGACAGCCTGGCAAGATCTTAAAGATCTTTTCCGTGAATGCGGTGAAAGTTATACGTGTCGATATCGCCGAAGTTGGGACGGCCGTTCTAGAGGCTTCGCCACTGTTCTCTTCGAGGATGAAGAGAGCACTACCAAGGGCATCGGTGAGCCACCTCACCATACACTTTTTCTGTTATGGATACTTCTCCTTT